TGTGCTAAACCAATTTAACTTGTGTGCCTCACATTTCCCAAGAGAGGAGAAATTTTGTCTGTAATGCTAACACATTCTTTGCCTTACACAATATACCACTTGTGAATTTGCCTTAGATTTTTTTGAGGAAAATAAATGAACATGTTTCATGATATTTACCAGAGACCTAGTATTGAGTGATATGCAGGGGTGTTATGTGATATTGCGGTTATATTGAGGTGTTACACATGTGTGTGTGAGTGTGTCTGTGTCTGTTTGCCTGTGCACTGGGGAGGTCCTGATTCATTCTAGGAATTGTTTGATACAGAATGTTTTAGTTTCTTTATATTTCTATAATTAAAGTTGCAAAAACCTGAAATTGATATTACTTAAGGAATAACCCCAACTCTGAAATTCTAAATATTAACATTCTATTTCATTTGTTTAGATTAAATTATTTTGAATCTGGCTAATCTCACACCTATATAGAGTGTGAATTTCAATTATTATTTTTTCGGTGCCTCCTATTACCAAGGATAATTAAGATTTTACATTTTTGATGCTACTAAAATAGACTTAATATCCAATACTGAGAAAAATTCTTCGTAAGCCACTCTGATCTCATTGCTTCATTTATGTCAACATTCCATTAAATATAACTTGAAAAAAAATGAACTTGAGCAGATTTCAACAGTAGCTAACTGATCATCGTATAACAAATGATAAGTCTCCATGTTAACTGGATTTAAGGATGTGTTACCCATCAGGTTATGTAAAAGATATTTCTGTGTCTTATATCTTGGATTTTTACATAAAACCAATTCTGTTTTCTACATTAGGCCCCCATAACAAAAGTCTCTCAATCCTAGCACTATTAATATTTTGGACTAGGTAGCTCTTTTTTGTAGGGAGATGTTCTGTGCATTGCAGGATGTTTAGCAGCATCCCTGACCTCTACCCACTAGATGCTAGCAGCACCCCCCAAGGTATGACAACTTAAAGGTCTCCAGACATTGCCACATATCTGCAGGGAACATAGAGGGGCAAACCCATCTTTACTTAAGACCCACTGATACATGGGAATTTAAGGGCTTTCATTTAAATTTTTTATTTCTTCATGTAGTCTCAGAAATTGTGTCTTAGTGTAATAAACAAAAAACAAACCAAGGAAATTTTTAACCCTTCACATATGATATTAAGATAGAATCATAATGGGAAACTTCTTTTTAATTTATAAGATTTGGGGGCTAGGAAGTGGCAGTTTTTTCTTATCTTCAAAACTTATCAGAGGAACCAAATTATGTTGTAAGACCTGAAAGCTCTTGCTTTATCTCTTGCCTAAATATTTTTATTGATGATAATTATAGCATCTGCAACCTCTTTCTGAAATGCTTCCAGGTGTTATAGAAGCTCCTGGGATGCCCATTGGGATTGTCCCGTGTCCTCTGAGCAGTTCCAGGAGCTCTCTCCATGACAAGGACCATCAGGTCATTGGATCAAGGAGTGACCATAGTAACTGAGAGATAGAGCAACTCATGAACTTTTTGGGGGCTCCATTGCTGTCAAAACTTTCAGTTCAGCACCCTCAACATCTGTTATGGTCATATTGGTTCAGAAAGTGAGGTGTATGTTTCTATTCACTGGAGATGTTTAAATCATCAGAACAAATTACTCCAGGAGACTTGGTATGCCAGCTACAACACTGAAGAGTCTGTGAATTCAGTTCTTCTGTGTGAACACTTAACACACATCCACTGGGCCTGGTAATGGGGACTCAAGAATGAATATGATACAGTTCCCACCTTCAAGGGATTTATGGGGTGTGAAACACTAATAATAGTAATAGTTTTTCTCTGCTTAAAGGATATCACAGTAGGACAAGGAGCAATATGTTCCCCAAAATAGATTATCAACCCACAACAAGAAATGTGAATGCTTAGATTGTTTTATATATCGCTGAGTCTAAGTAACTTTGCAAAGGATTTAAATAAAAACCTTCTCTAATTCTTCAGACTTATTTGTCCCTTAGTATTAGAGTTCCTTGCAGCCTGCTTTACAAACAAATATTGAGAGACACCCAGCCAAAATAACCACGTGAAAAAGAGGCATTGAATACAAACCAGCTAGATTGCCTAGAAGCCCCTATTTTCTTAGGTAACAATGATTTGTTTAAAACCAACAGGCAAATCTACAGTCTTCCACTTGAAATTATAGCCACACTGCAAAGAAAGAAACAGAGAGAGAAAGAAAGAAAGGAAGGAGGGAAGGAGGGAAGGAAGAAAGGGAGGGATGGAAAAGGAAGGAAGGAAGGAAGGAAGGAGGGAGGGAGGAAGGGAAGGGAGGAAGGGAAGGAAGGAAGGAAGGAAGGAAGGAAGGAAGGAAGGAAGGAAGGAAGGAAGGAAGGAAGGAAGGAAGGAAGGAAGGAAGGAAGGAGAAAAAAAGAAAAGAGAAGAAAGAGAAATTATAGCCGTACTGGAGTACATTTATCTTGGTCCAGAGGGGGCTGACATATCCTGACATATGACTGTGCCGTCACGAAGTGTGAGTTATAGCTATTAACAGAATGTCCAGAGTCCTGATGAAACATTAATCAGGATGTGAGAAGTCAGTAAAAACTAGGACTATTTTTATGCATTGAGAAGTGAAGCCACAGAGTAGGGAACTGAGATTTTATGGTGCAGAGAAATGGATTCTTCACATTAAATGAAAAAAAAAAAGGAGGAGCATTAAATGATTTGTGACACAGACATTTTATTTCACACTAGAATTGTGTGTTATAATGAAACCACTTAAAATCTGTTCACAATATTGTTGAGTTTTAAAATTCAAGTAGCCTACTGTACTAACAAGCATCACACATTTGGTTTTTTGTCATGATTAATATATTATCTTTGCTTTCAGGGCTTTTAATGATCACAGATAGCAAGCAAGCATGCAGCTTACCCCTTGAAAGGGTCTCACTCTTGTCACCCAGACTGGAGTGCAGTGACCCTCTAAGGCTCACTATAGCCTCAAACTGCTGGGCTCAATCTCCAGCCTCCCATTGCTCTTATGGACATCCTGATGGAGTCTCATGGCACAAAAGATTAATTAAATGATGTCTTCCAATTTTAATACATTTCTGCAATCCATCAAAAAATAAAAATAAAATTCAACTAGCTATCCGTTGGATGAACTCCTCAAGAAGCCCAGGCAAGAGATGTGTATGAGTCTGATATGGTGCAATGTAGAGCCAGCTCTGAGCACCCACCACATGGATTTGTGTCTTGTTTGAGGGTTTGCTTATGGACTTGGACTTGGTTGGCTGCTTCTGTGTGTGATGGTGCTAAATCTGAACAGGCTGAGCCACATCTCTAGGGGTTTTAGGTAGAACCACCTCTGTCATAGCCCGGAGAAACAGATATAGATGCCTAAAGTTTGGGAATTTTAAACTCTTTGAAAAGGAACTCCCACTAAGAAACACACTGCAACCCATTTTACATTTTATACATGTATATTACACATTACAAATATAACACAAATGTCATAAAATGATACTTATGCTTATCCTTATTGCTTAGGTTGTACTTAAATATTTTTTAAATATTTTTTTAAATATTTTTATCACTATCTCATTTTTTTAAATGCTGTTTGCTGTTTATAGCTACTAAACTAAATTTTACAACTCATAGATTAAAAAGCACTGGCCTAAGTGGTCTTCCTGTGTCTGCTGATGGATAACTATGGCATCACTTTAAACGGAGGCAAATGCATGAAATGGTGCCATATTTTCACTTACCAGTTGATGCGGGACGGCATTCTAAATCCTGTGGTTTATTTGGTACATCTAGTTTGCTGCCAAAATGACCTTTCCCTAAATTGCATTTGTTTCCAATGCAATTTAGGGAAACTTCTTTATCATATCAAAGGCTCTAAGAAAATCAGTTATTGCTAAATAAATAATCATGCTTTACTCCTTAACATCAAATTTGCATGAAATGTCAATAGCAATTTACACAAATCTGAACATAAATGAATCAGTGTATACGTCTTAACTCTATTAGATTATGTGTTATCTCAACAATATACTTATGCTGTGTGTCTTTTTAAAAATACTTTCAAAATTTACATATTGCTTAGAGTGATAATAATATGTTTCTTTACTCCCTTACTTTTTGAGGCAGTGATTCCTGAGGTTTTAGGGCCAAGACCTATTTGAAATTCTGATGAAATCTATGGCCCATCTCCTTGAAATGAGCACTATTGTGATTCCATAGACCCACATTTGAGCCCCCTTACCCTGAGTAGAGGTCACTGTTTCTGTCATCTCCCCAGAGCTCAGCCAGCAGCTCATATAACTAGCCCCCACTGAAAGGAAGCATTATACTCCATTCTATTGATATCTAAACCACCAGCTCCTTATTTTATTCTACAGCTGTCCCTTTCATGTTTACTTATTTAGCATTAATATCTGCTGGATTGGGACCAGAGCTAACCTTGGAATTGACCCCATTGTTCCTGTGTTTGTCAATACATTAACCTAATTTAGTGCTGCTGTGGGGTAGCATTGGGTAAATACAGATTGCAGACAGCACCCTAGAGGTATTTGAAGCTGTTTCCAAAGTCCCCACATCATGAGTGGGACATAGCATAGCATCTCTTTTTAAAAACATGTTAATTAAAATATTCCCTTGACTATAGGAAATCATTGTAAGTTTTGATAAATACTACATAAAACATTCAACCGTGAGCTGAAAGCCTAAGGGAATCTCAAGTTAAGCTCAGCAAACCACCTGAGACAGGCACCACTGCCACCTTTTGGTAACATAGCTTAATTGCAGGTTCAAGTTTTTGGAGGGATAATAAAACTATATTTAAAAAAGACTATAATTTTTACATTGTAAAATGATAGAGAATATATGTCTGTTGATATGCTGGAATAGGGAGTAAGCATGTGTTGCTGGAGTTTGTGTTGACTCTGCCCTTTGCATCTCACATTAGCTGTCTTCACCCTGATTTCCTGTATTCTCTGTATTCGGCAGGATTGGAGGAGCCATACCCACTGTGTTCTCATACTTTGCTGAAGTCCTGGCTCGGGAGAAGCGGGGCGAACACCTGAGCTGGCTCTGCATGTTCTGGATGATCGGTGGCATCTACGCCTCTGCCATGGCCTGGGCCATCATCCCGCACTATGGTAAGAGGCTGGCCTTGCACCAGCTGGGCAGTCACTTCATTTTGCTTCAGGCTCCATTCCCATCTTCCTCTCTTCTAAGTTCCACTTTGAGAAAAACTACTCATCATCATGTTTCTTTTTTTTCATAGTGTCCAGGAGATACAGATCGCTCTGTAGAGATCTCTGTATAGAGATCTGTATAAAGTAAGACTGTGTCAAATGGCCTTCTGGTTATGTGAATGTAATGGGGGGCTGAAACTATTTTCCTCTATTATGCTCTCACAACACTTCTGGTCGCCAAAATGTGTGGGGTGTTTTCTCCCACCAACCAATTCTCCTCTGATAGCTGGATGTCCTACAATTTAACTCAAATCTGACACTATGTTACTTGGGGTTAGAGTCAAATGGCACAGATTAAGGGCTTAGTATCACAAGACTGCCCCTCACTTCAGAGGCCAATTATAAGTCCAGGCCTCTGAAACTTCTGACTAACCAGCTATAATCTGGTTATATAAATAGGGGGGTTCCCACACCTCCCACCCTCAGGTTTGATCATTTGCTAGAATGGCTCCCAGAACTCAGGGAAACAACTTTCATTCATCAGTTTATTATAAAGGATATGGCAAAGGATATAGATGTACAGCCAGGTGAAGAGAAACTCAGAGCAAGGTATGTGGGAAGAGGTGAGGGTCTTCCATGACTTCTCTGCCTCACCACCCTCCCAGTACCTCCACGTGTTCAATGGCCCAAAAGCTCTTGAAACCCCATAGTTCAGGAATTTTTATAGAGGTTTCTATAGGCATGATTGATTAGGTATGATTGATTATTAACTCAATCCCCAGCCCCTCTCCTCTTTCTGGAGGATGGGGGTGGGGCTGAAAGCTCCAAGCTTATGATCATGGCTTGGTCTTTCTGGTGACCCAGTCCTACCCAGGAGCCTACCAACAGTTGTCTCATTAGAACAAAAGATGCTCATATCACCCAGGAAATTCCCAGGAATTAGAAGCTCTGTGTCAGGAACCATGGACAATGACCAACACTTTGTTTCTTATTATACTCACAGCCTCATAGTGTACTATTGCATTTTACTGTTTTCAAAGTAATCTCTTTCATTGGTTTCCTCTGTGCTATCAACCCTGGGTATTCCTCTCCCTTCTGCTTCTCCTACCCTAAGTGGAAGTGGGAGGATACACAGATCATCAGCAGCATATAAGACAACATGATTTACAGTTGTTCTTGGGACTGCCATGCATATCAGACACATAGAAGTGCCTTTACTCAACTCCTGTGAGCTCAGTCCAAAGCTCAGCTCCACTTCAGCCCACCTCTTCTGGCAACTCAGAACTGCAATGGGAGCAGGAAAACTCTTGGTGTATGGTCTGTCGACCTGCAGACCTTTAGAGGCAACTCCACCTGTCCATGCTCCCAGATCCCCTCCTAAGTTTCTCCTAAGCTCTAACTGCTCCTGCTGCCTCAGAACACTTGCACAGGTTGCATGTTTCTGAGCAATACTCCCCCTCAGAAGCCAAAAGCTTCAAGTTGCTTCATCTACAAACAGTGAAATGCAGGGAAAGGTCAGTTGAATCCAGAAATCAAATTCAGTATATCAGGAAAGGGGAGAGAAGTGTTCTGGTTGTGTGTGTGTGTGCGTGTGTGTGTGCACGTGTATGTGTGTGCACGTGCGTGTGTGTACACACATGTACACATGTACATGTGCCCAAACAGGCTAAAATTTGCAAAATAGGAATATTGTATAAATTAATACCACATATGACTTCAGAAACTCACCCTCTGCTCTAATCTAAAAAAATAGATTTCAAAAACTCATTGTTCATTTTTTATTTCTCTGCTTTTGTTTTAGAACAGGGTAGTATTTCATTATAAAACACAGTTCTGTTAGGGAACAGCCTTGGTGAAGTTGACTCATTGCTAACATCAGACATAGATTTTAGTTTTTAGGTATATTATCATTTGTTTTTTAACTGAGTTTTAACATGCTGAGTTATAAAATCATGTCACATGCTTTCTTTTGATGAACCTGAAAAGTTACGTGAAAATTATATTTAACAACAACAAAAGCAAGGTATAAGGAATTGGTTACTTCACCTGAAGAGAACTTCTCTTTGCTGAACACAAGTAGGTTGAGTTTAGGGTGCCAAGCTCAAGTGATGGGTTTTTCATTATTCTTTTTTTAAAGCAAGTTTATTAAGGAAGGAAAGGAATAAAGAATGGCTACTCCATAGGCAGAGCAGCGGGTTTTTCATTTTTAAACTCTTTGGTCATTTCTGGGCCAGAGATGCCCTCATACAGGCAGGTCCCCATATCCACCATGAGGCTTGACTTCTGCCACCATCCAAGGAATTCAAGGAGATTTTTCTTTTTGATTTGAAATCTCAGGACCTCGGCCACCCTCAGAACCTTCCTCGGTAGAGCAGTGTCTAACTCATGCCCCACTCAGCTCACTGGTTCAAGTGGGAAAGCCACTCAGGAATTGTTTATAGGAACTATGTTTAAGGAGGTGAACAGCAAATGCAGAGCTTATGCAGAGTCCAGATTTACTCATCATGGCTCCAGACCCACTGCTAGTCTATCCATTCAAATAAGGGCTGCTCCAGGTAGGTAGCCAGAATTGCTGCCCCACTTAGCATCTCTGCCAGCTACTCCTGCAGGGCTCAACCTGGCAAATTTACACAGCAGCTGAAGTACTTCTTCTCTATCTTTCTGTTTGCCTTTCTTCTTTCGGATGCCTTCTTAGCCAGCCTTCGGGCCTGCTTCTTCTCTTTTCAGCCTTTGATGAGAGTATTGCTCCTTGGGTCTGGCCAAGCTTGCTCTCTAGAGCTCCCTGTCTCCCTGGTTTATGGCTGCCCCCTTTCTGGTCCTCCCTTTCCATCATATAGCTCAGAATTTCACCTGCTGGCCTTCTTAAACTCGTAACTCACACTGGCCTCTGCAGTCTGCCTGTGTCCACCAAGCCCAGGCATGACTGCTTTTATTTTTAGTTATTTTCTCACTAGGGATTCAGTTCCTCCAACTCTGCTTTTCACACATCCCTGCCCTTGAACTCTGGATGGTTCCAGGTTTTCTCTCCTGCCTTGCCACTGTCAATCAGTGACCAACCACAAAGAATAAGCATGATTTCCACCTTCCTTTTTCCAAAGTACACTTAAGATATTACTTATTTATAGCTACAAGGGCTAATTAATTCATGTATAACTGGAATGAGGGAAAGTTGGGAATCATAAACAATGCATGAAAAGTTACAAAAAACAATGCTGACACAACAAAATTAAATGTCAGAGGCTGACATCATCTTTTATGTTGACAACACCTTGAGAAATAACGACCTTGTTAGGAAATCAGTAATGTAAATATTAAAACCTTATTCCCATGCTTTACTAAAGGCTTTCCATGACCAGAAGTGTGGCCAAAAAAAAAAAAAATTCAATCAATTCTGTCTGCAAATTAAAATTAACAATGGAAAGCCTTAAAAATATCTTTGCTGAGGTCATGTTTATACTCTTGCAATTTGAAGAGTTTTAATTTTTGTTTTCAAGTTTAATTTTTAAAATCCTGGGCTGAGACTTCTGGAGTGCTAATAACATTCTATATCTTGAGCTGGGTGGAGTTTTTCAATGAATTTTTCAATTGTAAACTTAATTAAACTGGCTGCTTCAGATTTGTGCATGTTGCTATATGAATGATACACTTTCTCATAAACACTTTTTAGTAAGTTTACTACTTCCCTGATACCCTGAAAATACTCATGCTTAGATTTTACCCAAGAATGAGTATTTTATTTTGATTTTACATCAGTCAAATCAGATTCTCTGGACAAGGGACTCAGCATCGAGAGTTTTTATTCTTATTTTTTTCAGCTTTATTGAGGTATGATTGACAAAAATTGTATATATTTAATGTGAATAACTTGAAGTTTTGATATATGTGTATATTGTGAAATGATTGCCACAATCGAGCTAATTAACATCTTGTGTGTGTGTGTGTGTGTGTGTGTGTGTGTGTATGTGTGAATGAGAACACTTAATCTCAGCAAGTTTCAAGTATATAATACAGTACAATATTATTAACTATAGTTACCATGCTGAATAATATCTCCAGAATTTATTATCTTATAACCAAAAGTTCGTACTATTTGACCAACATCTCCCCCCATTCCCCAGCTCCTGGTAACCACTCTTAATTACTCTCTACTTCTATGAGTTCAACTTTTCAGATTTCACATATCAGTGAGATTGTGCAATATTTGTCTTTCTATGCCTGGCTTCTTTCACTTAACATAATGCCTTCCAAGTTTATTCATGTTGTTGCAAAGGGAAGGATTTCCTTCTTTTTTAAGGCTGAACAATATTTCAATATGTGTGTATATGTGTGTATGTATATATATGTGTATATGTACACACACACACACACATACATAGTTTTAAAGATTTTCTATTTTTACAGTTTTATAGTTCTAAAGTTACATTTAAGTCTTTAATCCATTTTAAGTTGATTTTTATCTATGGTGGAAGAGGAGGTTCCAATTTCATTCTTCTGCATATGGATAGACAGCTTTCCTAATACCATTTAGTGAAGAGACTATCCTTTCCTTAGGGGGTATTCTTGCTGCCTTATCAAAGATCAGTATATGCATGGGTTTATTTCTGGGCTCTCTATTCTTTTCCGTTGGTCTATGTATCTGTTTATGCCAATACTACACTATTTCAATTACTGTAGTTTTTAAATATAATTTGAAATCAGGAAGTCTCCAGGTTTGTTCTTCTTGCTCAAAATTGCTTTAGCTCTTCAGGGTCTTTTGTGGTTCCATACATATTTTAGGATTGTTTCTTTCATTTCTGTAAAAAATGGCATTGGAACTTTGATAGGGATTACGTTGACTCTATAGATCTGTTAGAGTAGCATTGACATTTTAGCAATATAATTCTTTCAATCCATGAACACAATATATCTGGCCATTTATTTGCCATCTTCAATTTCTTTCATCAGAGTTTCCTAGTTTTCAG